GAAGGCCGTATAATACACTATAGGAGAGCAGAAACGGAGAGAACAATTAATGGCCTCGATGGAATTGTAGTGATAAAAAGGGTAAAACCATTTTTCCATGTATAACCTTTCAACAACTTAGACAGTATAATAACATGGGGGAAGTCTTGAAATGCCAGGAATATCGAAATCACAGATTGGCTCCATGTGTGTACAACATGATCACCAAATAAGAATACAGACAGGCATAACATAGACAAACCATGATTCGCAAGAATGGAAACCAAAAGGGACACTAAATTATCATAAACAAGGCCTTGTCGTATGAACTAGATATGAACGAGGAGAGCAGAGGCCAAGAAAAAAAAAAGGGAAAAAAGAGCAAAAAGAAAAACCCGAAGGCCACAGATTGCTGGTAAGTTGATGGTAAATGGTGATAATTGGAGAAAAATAAAGAAAGCCAAGACACTGAAGAGCGAAGCAGTGCTCGATTGACCCATTGACCGGGCAGTGAATATGCCCAAGGACAAAACACCTGCCATATCAATGACACCAAGCAACAACCTCTGCTCTCACTCTTGCTCTGTCCCGCAGTGCATCCCTATCCTGTCCCCCCGATTTACAAAAGTCATTTTTAAAAAAAAAGAAACAAAAAAAGAAATTCCCATAGCGCCAGGCTTTTGAAAGTGAAATCACAGACCCCATTCAAAAGATATGCATGCAACAATCGCCCTCCTCAGAACAGCCACAGCCACCCAGTGTAGTGTAAGACTGTATCATCGCCTACCGACGGATAGGAACACCCTCCCTCGCAGCAGGGGGACTGACACTAAGCTCCTGTTCACCATGCACTGAGCTAGAGGCTAGTCCAGAGCCAGCCTCACCCTCGCTGATACTGGTGCCACGGTGTAGGAAGCTACCTCCCTCCTTGATCGGGCTGCGGCTTTGGAACCCGATCGAGCCAGGGTGTCCGCTGATGCTGCCGGGGACTTGTTGCCCGCCTTGGGAGCTGATACTGCCACTATTGGCAGAGTTGTTGGCACCGGGTGAGGTTGAGGTTAGGTGCGGGATGTTCTCCGGCACTGGGTGGCGTGAGCCGATGTTGGTGACGCCTAGATCGGAGGCTTTTCCGGCTTTGCTGAGGGCGTAGTCACCAGAATCGAAGTATTTGCGTTCCTATAGTATAATAAGTATTAGTATGGTGTGTTGGGTGGGGTTGGGTTGGTGTTGGGCTTGCCTTGAGCTTGTTCTGGAGGACGTCCTTCTTGGTGGGCATCTTGCCGTAGAGGCGCAGCAGGCGCTGCTCCTCTGGGCTCAGCGACTGGGGAATTGTTAGTAATGATAGAATAGAACAGTGGGATTACCTACATTGATGTCCACTTTGTTCTGCTGGTGAGGATTCATGATGGATGGTTGAAGAAAGTTGTAGTTGAAGTTGAAGTTGGAGGGGAAATAGCGGGAAAGATAAGGCGGGGAGAAGTTGAAGTGTGACCGGGAGGTGAGGGGGGACTTGAGATAGAAAATAATAGGAGAAAAGGAGAATAGAGTAATAGAGTAATAGAATAATAAATAATAACTAATAGATTGAGTATACAGTAACAGTAACAGTAACAGTATTTAAATAATTCCCAGAGATGAGAGAAATCAAAGATGTCTACTATTGGCTGTGTATGAGGTAGATGACGTTTTGGGAATTCTACCTGGATAAGTGCGTACTCCGTACATCCGTACATATATGGTTAACTACGTGATATACATTGGTACCATCTGTTTGAAAGGTCCATTTTACTACATAAACCGTGGTAATATCGGTTCTATACAATAAACGTCCACGGGTGCAATGTATGTAGTGTGCATCATAAAATGCGAGATCACGTGGTCATACGCCGTCAACCGTTTTTTCTTTCCAACGTCATTCATTTTTCTTAAATAAGACTAAGTGCGATATATATGGGTACAATATTTGACCTAATATTTCTAATATTTCAGAGGGCCCAACACAAACTGACCTATCAGTCCAAAAGCGATCCGTAGGAGAGCTATCCTATGGAGCTAGACAAGTCGTTCTCACTCGCAGTAATAGACGTATATTCTATCAGATCACTTTTTCTCTCTCTTTCAAGCCCCTTTTAGCTAGGCTTGCGTCACATGGCGTGGAAAGGAACCACAGTTTGTTCTGTTGAAGAATTGTAAGTAGTTCGAGGGCATATTGACGAAATTGACCATGTTGTAGAGTAATGGCACTGTATCTGCTCTATTTGGTATGTAACGAAGTTAGCTACGCCAATACAAGTCCGATACGCATCCTATTACCGGCCTTGTATCGGGGTACACTCACGTGATATGACTCTGAAAGCGAGAAGTCGTTCTCAATTGCTCCTCATGACTCAATACAACTAGTGAAACAAGCAAAATGACCTGAAAAAAGGTTACTGAATTTGCAGAATACCGATTTCTATCCAGTGGACCTGAAAAGCGAGTCCGAAGGACCACTGAATCTATACCAGTGTGGGTCCAGTTCCGTGACATGGAGGTATAGCCAACATCGAACAGCCTCCCCAGGGTTTTGAACATGTCAGCACCTGCAACCAGGCGCAATCGTGCCCTAGCCTCATGTGAACCTTGCCGAGAGAAAAAAATTCGATGTGATCATGGTAAACCAATTTGCGCCGCCTGCCAGCGTCGTGGGATCGACTCTCGATGCTATTACCATCCCGCACCTCTAACTAAAAAGCGAAGTGCACAAAGACCAACCGTGCCTACGCTACCCCGATCAAATCTTGCTATACCATCATGGAGCAGGAACAGCGCAAAAAGCTGCCCAGCCCATCTTGGACGTTCTGCGGCTGGACCGCCCAAATTTCACACATGGCCTTTCATGTCGACCGGCTCTGACGCGCTGCCACAGACATCCACGGCGGGCTCGTATGATAGCAAAGCTTATGACGCCCACCTTGCCACCATGAAGGAGATTGTGTCTCAATTGAAATACCTTCCAGTCATTGAAAAGTGTCTCCATCAATACTACTCTTTTAAGCATAACGCACTTGTACCGAGACCAGTCGTTCTGCGCCTCCTGGAAATGCTCCGTTCAAACCTGGTATCGTCGGGCCTTATTCTTGGAGAAAGGGAAGAGCGAGTCGAGTTGGGCAATATCTCGGATATATCAGAAGCTGTGCTGCTCTCTTCCTCTACAGAGGTCGTCATCACCCCATCCTTAGACCTGCATGGTTTCTTCGCCTTGTTCAGTGGCGTGAATCTTCGAGTCGAGACGATCGGTCTTTTTTATACTATGGCTGCCCGTGCTTCGGTTTTTTTTGTTGACCGCGACGAGGATAAGGATGGCACATTTGTCCAAGACATGGTTTGGTATAGTACATTGAGCTTACGACTAGCTCGTGACCTTGCACCTCAGTCAACCGATGTCATCATATGGTTAGCGAATGAAAACGCGCAGCTCAAATCATTCCTTGAAGGAGATGCGAGTGAGTCGCCTCATGCAGATTTTGTTGATTGTGGGATACTGATTGATTTCAGGCCTCGGTGTGTGGCGTTTGGTGGGCGATCTCACGACAGATTTATTGGCTCTGGGCTTGAACAGAGAAGCGACGTATTCCCCTGAGAGGACCCCGTTTTTTCTTGCAGAATGCCGGAGGAGATGCTTTGTGACTGAATATTATCTCGAGAAAATGTTCGGCGTGGTGTTCAATCTACCTCCTCGCATTACCTCTCGATATGTTGACGTCAAGCTCCCCCTTGATCTGTCTGATGATGAACTTTTCGCGCAAACTCCCGAGGAACTGGAGGAAGCAAAAAGTCGGCTCACAGAAGATGGCTGGAACACGGATGGGAAACTTAGGGCAGCAACATGGGCTCGACTACGATATATTTTGAGTCAGTTTCGGGAAGGAATTGTGGAATATCATTTTCAAGCACCAAAGGCAGCTGACCCTGTCCAGCTCAGGTATGAAACCATCAATCGGAGAGATGCTGAATGGCCACTGACAACCAATCAGAGAGTTGTCTTCTCGATGCCGTCAGACCTGGGATAACCTGCTTCCCCACCTGAGGTATAGTCAGGATTGTTGGCAATCCGACATGCCTCTTACCAATTGTTATATGCATGCGAAGGTTCATCTAGCCTACCTCCAAATCCATTTCCAGATATACCACCTCCTTGGAGAAGAAAGCTCATCTCCCCTTCCCGAGCTGCTTGATGTGTCTGCAAGCATATTGGAGACAGTTGTGCAAATAGGAAATTCTCGCAGCAGAGGTGCCTTTACCTTCAATGATTTGCCTGAAATCGTACGTACTCCCCTAATTTACTACCCCATGCTTCTTTTTGCATAGCTGACGGGAGTGAAGCTTCTGTCCTGCGGTTTGCCTTCTGCCGCAGTCCTTTCGGCTGCACTAGAAAATATTACGCAAGATTCTTCAGGAATCCTTCCGCCTGGTATAAAGGCGTCGGCTGTGATTCGGCATCTTTCCGTACTTGCATCGCAACTTGAAAGTGTGGCCAGTTCCCGGGAAAGAAATCAAGCGTTCTGCTTGCAGGGCGCAAAAGCCATCACGGAGAAGTTGGACAAGATCTTGGACAAGTTTGCGGCATCAAAGTTTCAGGAAACTCCTGATGTCGCGACAAGCACTGACGTGAGCCCGATGTCAGTTCTGACCCCTAACATTGACAGCCCCCTCGCTGGTACAGCTGGGGAGATTGGTGTTTTCAATCTAGCCGATTACGAGAATTTTGATCTAATGTCTTGGGCAATCGATTTCGACCTGGGAGACGCGGCCAGCAACTGGACTATGATATAAAATTGAAATCATTGCGGGAAGGCTGTACATGATATTCTAAATCAAATCACGTAGAACATAGTATTCTTATGAATGATCGTAATGTTTGAAATCTAACCTGCAGATACATACTCCTTTGATGACCCCAGCATATAGATAAACCACGAGACGCTGTTAGAGGGAATAATCCGAAACAAAGACCTGGCCCATTTTCTTGAACATGAATATTACCAGCCAAAGCTTTCCTCGTGCCAGGAAACATAACGTCCTTTGTCCACCCACTTGCCAACATGGGCTCGTAGTTGGCGTGCCATATCATGCGGCCCGCAGAACAGAACTGCTACGCTTTCCTCGGCATGATAGCTGAAAGTCTGGCTCACAAGCACCTGTAAATCAGGCCGCCCTATGTGTGGTTTGATTCCTCCGACCAGTTCATGGGGTAGCTGCAATTCACCCATCTCTATGCTCTCGGTCGAACGATCGCCGCCGAATGACTGCCTTTGCGAATGGTGCCCAGTTACGTATATGTGAACATTGGGGCTCTGCGTGAATAGTTGCTCTTCTGAATCCGTGGCCCAACTGGCCTCGGCGGTCGATTTTAGAGCCCAGGTGAAGTGCAGCCGCTCTGGACCACCTGCTTCAGCCCCCAGCTGTTCAAGTAAGGCGCGGTAGACGGGTATGATAAAACTCGCTCCGATTCCCCCTGCCACCAGGTGGATACGGTCCATTTTCAGGGCCTGATCTATGACCTGGGCAGAAGGCCCATATGGGCCTTCGATGCTGATCGGAAACTTGGTCCCAAATTGCTCCGCATGAGTTCGTAAAGTCTGTGTTAGGGGACCCTGCCGGGCTCGAAGTACTAGCGTGATCTCGGTGGTGGAGACCTCGGCTACCGTAAATGGGTTTGAGAGCAGCCCATCTATGCGGCTTGAGCCGGCACCGGAGGGAATGTTTAAGTAGACATGGTGACCGGGTTTGCCTTGGAAGCGTCGCAGCTTAGATGTTGGAATTGGAATCTGGACTTTCAGAAGGTCCGTATGAGGAACCTGCATAATGGTGGCGGGCTCAATGATAGTGTCCATTTGGCGGAGAATTCGATCTATGATAAATAGTGCAAAAGCTTCGATGGCATACACCCGGAGAGGTTTTGCATGTAACAAAAGAATGGGCAATATCGCTAGCCCGATGGCAAGATGACAGAAGAAGAAAATTCGGTAACTCCATTGTCTGACTCTTGCAAGACTTGTGCCTGAAAGCATGGCCAACAATGTCACAGATATTAGTCCGGTAATAGATGATGGAGCTCGAAGACGTTCCATGAGGATATCTGTCTGAACAAAGAAGTTGATATACCACGTAGCATGAAGTGCAAGGAGGATCATAATGACCCTACCGCACAGCTGATGCCAATGAATGAGCTTCTCATGGGAAGTACTGAAGATGATTGCTAGAGGAGAATAGCGAGTTCGCATGGATAACAAGTAGAGGAAAGGTAATTGAGCTGCAGCAACTCTTCCAAAGCGCTTTGTGACATGGATATAGTCTAAATCAGAGTGTCAGTAGGACATATAGTACAGCCCTGGGAGTGTTTATCGCCTACCATGGTCGGTCTGGTGGATGCAAAGAAATAGCAGCCACAGACTCCAAACCCCCGCAGTGACCCAACGTCCTCTTGACCCAAGATCCAGGCAAACTTCACCATTCAACCACCACTGCACAGATAACCATCGCCTGACAATTAATTGAGCAGGGCCACTGGGTGACTTGGTGCTACCTGGGGACTGCCGAAGAGCAGAGTACGTGGCATTTATTTTGCCTTTCTCGGCCAAGAGCCACGCCCCTAGTCGGTATAGCTGATATGCTAGGATTGGGATGAGCACAGATAGCTGGGAAAAGAGTGCATATAGGTCCAATTGTTGTCTCCGGTGGGCCTTTTCATCAGAGCTCAGGTCGACAAAATGAAACGGCCAGGCCATGGTGTGTAGGTCCAACGTCTCTACTTTCCGTGTGAAGAAGTTCAAACACAGAGCGCTGTGGGGGCTACATCAGTGTATTGCTGGATGTCGTGCAGGGATGCATTTCGAGATACCAAGGTGTTCTCTTTGATTAGCTCCAGACGTCTATGTTGTACGGAGTTTGTGTGGAAAAGAACAATGGGGGCGGGGGATCGGAGATCCTTTGAAGCGCCTAGGAGAAGCGCCGGCATGAAATTTAGTGAAATCGAATCTGTTACCCGATATTAGTATTCTTAGTACTCCGTACTCTTAGTACTCTTTTATTTTAGAATATTTTTATATGATAATATATTCTATTAATTTACTCAGTATGGAGTAGTAAATATTCTTATTCTATACACTACATCCAAGATCGCACATATAACGCATTTAATATTGTATTTAACAACCCTCTACAGCTATTCCAAAATCTTCTCATCGTCATCCCAAGGATCATCTTAATATAATACTACATATATAAGTACTTTGTTAATTGGTTAAATCAATCACAACCTCGTCACCTGCCCACAGTGGAACCGAAGCTTGAACTTCTTCATTTCTTCAATTTTCCCGCTTCTGTGACGTCTCTACCTTTCAACACCCACCATGACTCAACCAACCTTCGTAGTCGAACATTTGGATCCCGAGCTGGGCCCATGGTCCACGCTTGAATATGCCTGCATTGCGCGCGAATCCCACGACCGCGGCGCAAGATTCCTGCTCAGCTCTGTGCCCGCCGAACTGCAGATGCCCGCAGATCTGGCTGCCACCAAGGGCCTCGAGGTCGAGCTGCGTAGTGTCGAAGAGATTTTCGCCGACCGCAAGGATAAAGTCTGCTTGTTGGACCCTTCCGCTAAGACTGAATTGAGTCCCGAGGATGGTGATACCTTTGAGGTCTTCTTGTTCGGTGGTATCCTCGGTACGGAATAATTTTTTTTTACCCCGCGATATATACGGATTGAGTTCGGACTGACCCTTTTATTGTTAATTACGTTTTAACAGGCGATGACCCCCCTAGAGGTATGTACTTATTTTCTCTATGCAATTTCGGCGAGAAACTGACGAGTTTGTAGATCGCACCTCGGAATTGAGGAAGAAGGGATATGTCGGCCGCCGATTGGGGCCTAAGCAGATGACTACCGATACTGCTGTGCGAGTTACTCGCTTGGTCGTTCACGAAAAGAGTGAGTGTGGAAAAGTCTAGATGATCTATGTGCTGTACGCTGATTCTGCCCAGTACCCCTTGAGGAGATTCAATATGTCGACTACCCGGAATTGCTCATTAATGAGCACGAGCGCACCGAGATGCCTTTCCGCTATGTCAAGGATGCCAAAGGGGAGCCTATTATGCCCGATGTAAGACACTTGAATTCCCAGAGAGAAACAAGAAGCTAACTGTTTAGGGGATGGTGGATCTTATTAAGAAGGATGCCGACAAGTCTATTGATTTCTTCTAAGGGATACGAGTGATAGGAGTACGCCATTTCACTAGCTGGAGATCCCCCAAATTAAACGATAATAAGGTCAAGCGGCTGAAGAAAGGCCTGGGCGTGTTTCAATGGTTTTACTTTTTAGGGGGAGTTTCACCTTTTGATTCATAGGGGGGATATCAAAAATACAAGGATTCATGATCAATTTAAGGACAGTTAATAGTATACTACGGAGTAAATACTTTGTAGGGAGTATATAGAATGTACTCTATATATAGTATACTCTATGAGCTAACTACGTAGTTGATCAGGAATCTATACAAATAATACAAGGATTACAATAAATACAGAGATATCTCTATTTAAAGCAGTACGTGGCAGTGCATTTCATCAAATCCACTGGTAATTACCTGTAATTACAATAATTACTCAGGCCACGCCAGCCTAGGGACTTCCTTTGAACTCCGTCATTTGACGTTCACTACGTCCACTCTGAACACCGTGGAGTCTCCTTTCTTTGGGGGCTATTTCTTTGTAACTCTGCCACGTCAACCGTATCTCTCCTATTAACATCCTTCCAATCGTGCCGGCCAACCCGCCCTACCCGTCCAACCCGTTCAAACGCTCAAACCCGATGATCTGTTGATTTGCAGCTACGAGTCCCTCCCGGGGCATCTACTCGACTATCTACCTCGACTTTTATTCTGATGATACCCATACTGGATTGCTGAAATGCTGTCAATGCCATTTCTCCCTTCTACCACGAAGGGAGGTGCCGCCGCGATGTTATTATCCGCATTATCGCTGCTACTAAGCCCGTTGGTGTCAGCTAGTTCGGCTGCTGATTATTATGTGCACTCGTTACCTGGGGCGCCGGAAGGCCCCTTGTTGAAGATGCATGCTGGGTGAGTCCCTAGGAGATCGCATCTGTTCGGACGTATGGGCATTTTCTAACGCGACAACTCTAGACATATCGAGGTCGATCCCGACATCAACGGCAACCTCTTCTTTTGGCATTTCCAGAACCGCCATATCGCAAACCGGCAGCGCACTGTCATTTGGTTGAATGGTGGCCCAGGTTGTAGCTCCATGGATGGTGCATTGATGGAAGTTGGGCCCTACCGACTCCAGGACGACCACACATTGAAGTACAACGAGGGCAGGTGGGATGAATTTGCCAACCTGCTCTTCGTCGATAACCCCGTCGGCACCGGTTTCAGCTACGCGAACACCAATAGCTATATTCATGAGCTGGATGAGATGGCCGCTCACTTTATTACCTTTTTGGAAAAGTTCTTTGAACTATTCCCCGAGTATGCGAACGATGACGTACGTTTGCCTTGTCCTCTACTACATTGATTACATCTCTAACTAGGTTGCAGCTATATATCGCTGGTGAATCATATGCCGGTCAGCACATCCCATATATTGCAAAGGCCATTCAAAATCGCAACAAGGGCGTTGCAGAGAACGGAGGCACACAGTGGCCTGTCAAGGGTTTGCTGATCGGTAACGGCTGGATCTCTCCTGCAGACCAGTACCCTTCGTACTTTAAGTTCGTCGAGAGGGAAGGCCTCATCGCACCTGGTACAACTCTTTACAACAACTTAAACGCACTCAATGAAGTCTGTCTCTCAAAGTTGGAGACCGCTGGCGCAAAGAACAAGCTGGATATTGGCACGTGCGAGCTAGTCTTGCAACAATTCCTCGACCTCACTACCGAAAATCACCAGTGTTACAACATGTACGATGTCCGTCTCAAGGACGAGGCCAAATCTTGTGGCATGAACTGGCCCCCCGACCTGAAAAACATTGAGCCGTATCTCCAGCGACCCGACGTCGTCAAAGCTCTGAACATCAACCCAGCCAAGAAATCCGGCTGGACAGAATGCGCTGGTTTGGTCCACCAGGCCTTCACCGCAAAGAACTCCATCCCCTCTGTTCAGCTGCTCCCAGACCTGATCGAATCGGGCATCAACGTTCTGCTCTTCAGCGGCGACAAAGACCTCATCTGCAATCACATCGGCACAGAGACTCTGATCCACAACATGAACTGGAAAGGTGGCACCGGTTTCGAAACCTCCCCGGGCGTCTGGGCCCCGCGCCACGACTGGACCTTCGAAGACGAACCCGCTGGCATCTACCAATCCGCTCGTAACCTCACCTACGTGCTCTTCTACAACTCCAGCCATATGGTTCCATTTGACAATCCTCGCCAGACCCGCGACATGCTCGACCGCTTCATGAAGGTCGACATCGCTAGCATCGGCGGCCAGCCTTCCGATTCACGTATCGACGGCGAGAAGTTGCCCCAGACTGCTGTCGGCGGACAGGCTAACAGCACTGCTGCCGAACAGACTGCGAAGGAGAAGCTGAAACAGACCGAGATGCGCGCGTATGCCAAGTCCGGCGAGGCTGTCCTCGTGGTTGTGATCATCGGTGTGATCGTTTGGGGTGTTTTCATCTGGCGCAGTCGTCGTACTCGCGGAGGCTACAAGGGCGTCTCGAATAATGAATTATCGGATAGTACATCCATTCTCAACAGATTCAAGAGCAAGCGTTCCGGCCCTGACGTCGAGGCTGGTGATTTCGATGAGTCCGAACTCGACCAGCTTCATTATCCTGGTGTTGAGCGAGGGGATTACGCTGTGGGCGAAG